TCAATTATCTACACAAATTTTCTAATTGGTATTGAGGAAAGACTTACTTGTGTTTGCTACATCTTATACATTACTGGCATGTACATAAAACTTTATTTTTTTATTGCTGAAATATTTCCGGTCCAAAGGATTCAGTGAGTTCAAGAGCAAAAGTGTGTGTGGGGGAGGAGGAGAAGTAGAAGGTGAGCCGGAAGAGTGGGAAGAAGGTGGGGGAGGGGTTAACCCAAATTCTAATTCCAGTCTTGTTAGTAAATTGCTACCCTGCTCTACGCAATCACTGAACACAAGTTTCAATTTCTATTTCTGAAAATGCTTATTTCGAATAGGAAGATCAAATAGGGTAATGTAAGTGGAATTTTTCTTAAGTACTGTAGTATTCCTATAGTGAAGAAAACACTTCCGTATGGGACTCTGTCCCAAGACAGCAACAAGAGAGTGAATGGCCAAGGCCCCTGTATTTACATCCTTATATGACAGTATAGCGATTAGAATGGCCACACAAGCTATTTATTTCCCAGTGCCACCAAATCATGGCTATTTTAAAAGTATTTTGAGGCGCATTTAATGCTTCAAATATTTTACTGCAAAGTAAGGGGGAAAAAATGTGGATACAAAAGTAATCTCAGTTGTTTATTGTGTAGCGGCGACTAAAACCCTCACTTCATGCCTTCAGTGTCATTTTCATTTTGATGCAGAGCCCTTCTATTGGGTCTAGGACAGGTTTTTATGTAGCACTTGACGTGTATGAACAATGACAAGCCCCTGGATTGGTGATTTCCATCTCTAGTTTCTAATACTGTGGGTTACACCTACTGTTCTTATAAAATTGCATAACATAGTTAATTTTTTAAATCTTAATTTACTGAAAGAAAATTATGGTGTTGTAAATTTTCTAGGTACATTTCAATTAAATTACCACTCTCTATAGGACCAAACAAATCTGCCACCTATTCTTTTCACCAATGATGAATATCATAAAAAGATAAAGAATGTCTTTGATGACATTCTTTGCAACATGTCTCCTTATAAAATATAGGAAATAAAGTAATAAAACTCATTTTTGTAAGGAATATACTTCTGAAAAGCAGAATATAAAGATTTTCAAATAAGACATCATTTTAAGCACAGCAGTGATATTCTCCATTTCAAAGAAACCCAATTATGATAAGCCTTTATAAAGTTTACCCTGAAAATCTCCTAATTGTTAAATGTGTGAATTTCCATTTTCATATACTTAGCTTTCTCATACAGACGGCATATGCATTCTAAAAAACACTGCAAATCTTATCTCAAATACCTAAATACAATTTAAAATATGTACATGCTGTTGATATTTTAAAAGCTACATAGAAATAATTCCTCACATTTTTATCAACAATTAAATGTTAAAAACTGTTTAAAATTTTAACAATTTAAAATATTTAAATTGTTTTAAAACACAGGTAATTGATTTAAAATATAGGTAATATGAAACAAGGAAGAGTAAAGGTAAAATACTATTCTACAGATAGGTATCCTATAACAATAGTTAAATAAAATTAAAAGGTAGATAAATGTGTGTACCAAGTTATCGTCTGTTTGTGATCACAGTGTTTAATCACCAACTACTTTTATTCTATTTATTCAGTGCTCCCAAAAAAAGGCTAAATCTAATTCCACAGGCATAACACACGTGAACCCTCATGCCACGGACTAAGCAGGTGTGGTTACCACCACAAGACTATTAAAAAGCACACCCATTCATCCTACTTTCCTTCACAGAAGAGCTTATGTGTAGGATACATAAGAAGAGAAATACATCTACAGAAGACTTCATTTTAATATACTCAAGATTCTGTCTTAAGAGGCCTTATGAAAGTTGTTTACAAATTTTTCAGTTAATTTTAATATTGGTCATACGCATAAAGAAACTCCAAAATAGATCACTTATAGCTATTTACGCCTCATGTATTACTAATGAATTCAGCCAGATGAGACGGCAAAAGAGTCCATCACATCAATTTGTCTTAAGTTTATAGATACAAAATTTTCAGTTGATAAAATTTGTATTATCTCCATGATTTACAAAAATGAATATTCTTGGGGCTTGAAATCACTAACATTATTTTTGCTGAGTCCATGGCACACAAGAGTGCCTCAAATATTATTGTCAAACGAACAAATGACATTAAAAAGTCTGCTTCCAATTACAACTGTTTGGGGGGAAAACTATGAAAAAGGGAAAAATACTTGCAATGGTATTCTAAAAATATCCATAAAGGAAATATTTATAAAGTACTTAGAAATCTTTTGGCCCAAAAGGAGTTCTATATAAGTGCTTGTCATTAGTGTTATCATGTAAATCTACTTTGGTTCACAACAATCTTTGTAGCTGCATTAGTATAACTCAGTAAGTCATTAAGTCACTGGTAAAAAGAATTCAAATATGTAAGCATCAATAGTAAGGATGTAATTACCATCACCTATTTTATATGTGGGGGAAAAAACCTATCTTACAAATGAATCAACATTTTCCTTCAATGATGGTTAACCCAGTAAGACTTTAACACACAAGAAAGGTGAATTAAATCTTAAGAGTTATCCTACATCCTCCATCAAAACAAAATAATCCCTTATAGTTCAGTATGTCTTTTATCCAGTGTATTTATATAATTCAGAACTTTGTAAAGAACTACTGTGAGTCATTTCCACATATAGCTAATAAATTTAATGAAAAAGAAAACATCAAAATCCTAAGTGATAACAGAGCTATGAAAATTTCCCTTCTTATTGAAGCAGATTTTAATACAGGAGAATGCTAAAAAAATGTTTGGGATTTACTCTTACACTTTGGTTGCTGACCACAAAAGAGGTGAAGACTGAGGTAGTTTGAAAATTCTGTGAGTATTAAAACAGACTATAGTTTTCATTCTCTAAGGAAGAATGCTTTGGGCTATGTGAAGTACCCTCAACTTCCAGGGACTAAAAACAACTGCTGCGATGAAAGAGCAGAGTAGTTAGGGTTAAGGAGGTGGCTGTCTTCTATCATGAAACTAGCGAGAATACCTACTTGTTGACAGTATTAATGTCAGCTACATTTCTCTGCCTCACTTAAGGCAGTGGAATTGTGAAAAAACATACGTATTTTTAAAATAACATGTCATTTTTAAATACGCTAGGAACAGTCTCCATTTCAAGGAAATCCAATTGTGAAATCTCTTCTAAAGGTTAACTGAATAACGATCCCCTAATTTACTGAAGTATGATTAAAAACTTTATTAAGATGAATATAAAACTAAAGTTTACTAGTTTGTGTTGCATGTAAGTGGTAAAATAAACCATAAATGCTAAATAATATAAAAAAATGATATAAACATAACTGGGTAAAAGGGTTTGGCTAACCATGTAAGCATGTAATTCAACTGGAATGAAAAAAAAACCCACAAAATCAAAACCTTCCAGTACATTTCAGGGAGGTTCACAACAGTGAGCCCTTTAATTAAAACTGCAGGCAAATTAAGTAACAGGGATGAGCGATGGCTGCAATTACGCTATTCTTTTACTTCACATTTCAAATAATTGATGAATTGCTAAAAGATAAATAGATTTTTTTAAAACAAATAGCAAAAATTTTATAATAACAATCTAAATCAATTACTGTCCAAAAAGGAATGTGTAGTTCTCTTTAAGGCAAAGAAACATGGGGGAAATTGTAAATGAATTTTCAGAACTATAACAATCCGTGGAGATAAATAAATTCGTTTTCTACACAATAAAGTCAAAGCACCTTTCTCTAGATTTTAATCTCAATTATATGAATAAAATTTACATTGGACTTCATTTCTTCTGTTAAAATTAGCTATGCATCATGTCACGTGGTTTCAGTACTTTCACCAAGGAAATCCTAATACACTGAAACATTTTCTAATATTAGAAAACTAAGCCAAAGTATGTTTCTTTTTAAGTAAGTAAATCTTAGCGTTATCCTACATCCTCCATCAAAACAAAATAATCCCTTATATTCAGTATGTCTGAAAAATCCCTGTTTTACATTAAAATAAACACTAAATATCAAAAAAAGACAAATATGAAACTAATTAAAATGTTGCTAGATATATATGCTGAAATCTTTGTAAGATTTTGCAATGAGAAAATTAATAGGGAAAGTATACTTATTTTCCTTTGTGAACTATTTTTATTTTTGCATAGAATAACTGGGGTGTAGGCCAGAGGTGCGGGGTGGTGAGAGGATTCACCAGAGACAGAGTGGGGAGCAGAACAGGCAGATTTACTGAAACACACTGCTGAGGGGAGCAGTGGGTGAGACAGGAGAGGTCTGCTGCACCACATGTGGGTCAGCTCCGTGGCCAGGGATTGAGCAAAGGCCTTAGTGGCGATAATGCTGAGACTTAATCCCTAGGCCCTGGTTTTCCTTTTTGAAGATTTTGTTTTAAAACACTATTTCTACACAGATGAATCTGCTCTAAATATTTCCTTATCCTTATTTTTAACTTAATTAGGTTGAGAGAACTACAAGAGATAGTGAAAGGCAGCAGATTGAAAAAAGAGAAAACATATCCTCCCCTCACTACAAAAGCACTATTAACACAACATAAATACTATTTACATCATTTCCTTCCATTTCTTTAATGTTCCGAGGTGTAGGTAGTCAGTGACATAGTGAAATGATTAACTCATTAAAACTAACTTCTGTCCAAAATGACAGTTTCTTACCATCTTAATTTTAAAAACTCATACAAGTAATAGATGAAATGTTAGATTTTACTGGTACACAGGGTACAGCAGTCCAGTTGGTTTTTCTGAATGAAAAGAATGTTTATAACATAAGTGGGTGGACATCATATAGTGATAACTAGATCCTTCTAAGAAATAATTTACAGAAAAGACATATCTATAACTAATTTCTGCTTTGTATGTAAAATGCAATCTGCAGTTTAAATTGCTAAATGGAAGATTTAATTCTTGCTTGTAATTCCAGCATTACTAGATATGCGCGTTACCTCAACAATATCCGAGTTGGTTCTGCTTTCGTGAGGTTCATTATATTCTGTATACTTGAGAAGGACTTTGTCCATATCAGTGCTGGCGTACTGGAACAGTTTGTTAGAGCTGTTGAAAATGATGAGTGCTATTTCACAGTCACAGAGCACACTAAGTTCATAGGCTTTCTTCATCAAGCCAAACTTTCTCTTTGTAAAGGTGACCTAGACAACCAAAAAAAAGGTGTATTTTTATTAAAAGCATTAGTAGTACCTGAATAGAGGCTACCTGAAGATTAACTCCTTTTTTAATATTGGGGCCGGGTTTCAACAACAGAAATAATCCCCGGTCCCACGCTCCACGTGAGCATCTTCTTTCCTCTCCTTGCTGGAGGCCTACATTTACCTCACATCTCTACCAGCTCTGAGAACAGAATCTTTAGGCAGTATTCCCTTATCCTTGACTGCACCCCACTGCATAAGATGAAGAACCAAAGCAGGAGACAGCTGATCAGTGTTATCATTCATCTTAAAGTTACCACTGGAAACCGCAAGTCCCACTCCTAAGTAACTCATCGTCATTCAAACTTTAATCCTTAAACAACTAACCATATCCATTAATCTAACTCACATTTGTCCTCCCTCCAAAGCCCTTCTATTGCAATCACTGAAATTCAGTCTATGATCAACAAATTCCCCAACATCCTCAAATTCTTCTCTCAATATTTCTTTCTCTAAATGAAACTCTCAATTAGAGACCAACTCTTGTTTGTTTTCAAGTATCACCACCCCTATACTCAAGGCCCTGAAGCCATCTCCTTTTTTTTGCTTCCTATTTTCTCTTCCAAATTATTTTTCTTTCCATTCCCTTCAAAAGCCCCAGATATTTTGAAGATTATACCATGAATTACACGACCCAATGATCCCCTTTGTGATGGACACCAAATGGCTCTGGTCACTCTCCTTCATGGACTGATAAATGTATTCTCTTTCTAGCCCTATTCTTATCTCTGCTGACTTTAGCACCTGCAAAACAAACAAACAAACAAACCAAAAAAACTGCCTATACCTTGGCCAGTTCTTTTATGTCCCACCCTTCAAATGATTAGCTTCCATCAGACGTCAATCACCCATTCCTGCTGTTACACCTTTAACTCTGCAATCAACTATAGTCATATCACCTCCAAATCTCAATTTCATGCATTCCACTTTGTCTCCTCTTCAGCTCTATTTTGTATTACCTCTCCAGAAATTCTTCAACTTTTTAAGCAAGTCCTCCAATCCACATGACTCACCACTTCATTACTATCTATTCTCAAGTCCTTTCTCCCCTCTTTAAATTCCATGATCTACTACTCTCTTACAAACATATTAAGACCTTTACCCTTTCATCATCAACATACTTGTCCAGGGCCTGATCCCCTATATATACACTCAATCATCCCTGTCATCTTTATGCAAGTAGTTTATAATTCCTGGGAACAGGAACTAACACACACACGCAGTTTCTAACCTAGTCTAATTCTCTTGCCCCAGTCTTCATATTCACACCACTGTAACTCACACCACACCACTATAACCAACAACAACATTATTTTTCAAGAGCATATGGATTACTTAACCAAAATGACAAAAAGCTGGGTCCTAACATGTTTCAACATTTCACATGACACAATTAAAATCAAGCTAAAAATCATTAACTAAAAAATCATTAACTTTAATAACAAAAATCTCCAATTTCTTAGAAATCAAGCAACAGATTCCAGGAAATCATGGGTTAAAGAAGAAATTTCAGTATAAATTTGAAAATATTTTCAATAGGAAAATGACAAAATACTAAAACTTGTGAGACACAGTTAAATCAATGTGTCTCACATTCACATTTTCCCTTATAGGGAAAAAATTAGTGCTATATAAATTTGTCAGGGGAAAAAAGGAAAGCTGTGTCAATGATTTAAGCTTCCATCTGAAGATATGTAAAAGAACCACTGTCCAAAAGCTATCCAGGAAGATAGTATCAAGAAAAAAACAGAATTAATGCAATTTAAAACAACTATACAATAAAGACTAAAGTTCCTTCTTTGAAAGGGTTAATAAAACTCTCAGCAGGACCAATCAACTAGGAAAAAAAAAAACCACAAGGAAACACATATACTACACAAACTTCTCTAGAGAACATATCCCAACTTAATTTATAAGTGAAATACACCTTGTCATAACCTAACAATGATATAAGAAAAAAAAAATTCCAGACCAGGGCATCCCTGGTGGCGCAGGGTTTGTTGAAGTCTCAGAGCTATCAAGCCATCACCAGCCACTGCAGCATGTGTTCAACCCCTGGCCAGGGAGCTGACCCCCATGGTGCAGCAGACCTCTCCTGTCTCACCCACTGTTCTCCTCAGCAATGTATTTCAGCAGATCCACCTGTTTTGCTCCCCATTCTGTCTCTCACACACCCCCACACCTCGGGCTTGTAACCTACTTTTTTTAATATTTTATTTTATAAAATTCTTACATCATTTTTCATCTTTGCACAATGTATGCATTTTCATTTTGGTTATACTCCCCATACAATTGCACCCCCCCTTATTTTGACTCTAGTCCTTCCTCTCCCTGCCCCTCCCCCCCGCCCCATAGTGTGTCTCTGGTTTATAGTTGCTTGTTGATTTTGATTTTTACTTTGTATTAATTAGTCTTTTTCCTGGTCTCTTATATTTAGGTTTTCTAAATTCCTGCTATGAGTGAGACCATCCAGTATTTTCCTTTTTCTTTCTGGCTTATTTCGCTGAGCATGATCCCTTCTAGCTCCATCCATGTTGCTGCAAACTGCATTACACCCCACTTCTTGTATGCATAAATAAAAATAAATCTTTAAAAAAAATTCCAGACCAATCTCACAAATAATTTATGCAATAATATAATAAAATAAAATAAGAATTTTTAAAAGAAAATAATCTATCACTGTTCAAAAGACTTTCTTCAATCCAGTTTACCAGCAGGTCTAATTATTCCTACTAACATATCTACCAGCTGCTCAGTTAAGTTTTGTCTCAAATTAAATCAGTATTACCAGGTGCTACTCAAATTCTGCAGATCTTCAGTATTGTTTTTGAAATTTTTCCTGATATGCAACCTACCCAGAGTAGTATTTTTTTCTACATATGGGTTTAATCTGTAATTCATTTATAATAATGTATATAATTATTTTTCCTTCTTCTCTCTAAACCAACAAGTTGACTTTCTCAAAGGGCTAGAGAGTAAAGATTTTATTTAGACCTATTGGTCATACAGTTTCTGTGGCAACTAATCAACTATACTGTTGTAATGTAAAAGCACCTATAGACTATCCATTAAAAAATTAGCATGGACTACTCTAATAAAGCTTTATTTGAAAAAAACAGGCAGTCAGCCCTAAAACCATAGTTTGCCAATCCTGTTCTATATTCTTCCAATTTCTGGTGTCCACATGTCAGTAGTATTATAATAACCCTAAATTTATAGAGGTTCACTGGCATTGGCACTGAATATAAGTTCGCCGCATTTTATTAATTACAGCTGAGTATTACACATAAATGTTTTATAAATATTTATAATAAAGAGTTGCAAAAAAAAAATCAGTGTTTACTGCTTAAGCAAAAAATTTAACCCACCAGAATACATTTACTAACAAGTGCAGTTATATATTACCTAAATTATGAAAGAGGTAATAACTTAAAACAATGATCAATATACAGAAAACCAGCAAATATAATCAAATGTATAAAAGATAAATCTATATAATGAATAGTAGTGACAGTACTGCAATGATTTTACTTTCCATCTTTTGCCTATATTTTCTATAATTAACATTTGTGAAGTCTGTAATGATGGGGAAAAGGAATTTGTGAAAAGATACAGGAAAAAATGCCAAAAGTTTGTGATTGTTAATATTTTTTCACAGTTTTGGAAATAAAAAATTTAGACTTGAAATTAAGAAAGACTCAACCATTCTATACTATGTTCCTCTTAAAAAATTTACATTAATTAAATAGGTACATTAAAAATTTTGCTTACCTGTCGGTTCCTTTCATCCATTATGCGTGTGATTTGTATTTTCTTCCGCCCCATTTTCAGTTACCTTTCCTTCCTTATATTCCAAAAATTTGACTCAGAAATTAATTTTCTTCAATACCCTAATGCATCGTACACAGTTTTGAGTATTTCGGCTTTTAGTCCAAGGGTTACAGCTGAAAATATTCTGTAAGATGTAAAAGAAAACACAAATTAGAAAATTTTAAATTCCATAAATCTGCAAAGCATGATAGTGTTATACAAGTTTCAGACCTATGCTGCACACAGCATAATTGACATTTCTGGTTATAGAAAATTAACAAATTGAAGCTTTTCAATTTTACCTCTAAAACACCTCATGATAATTTTCATGCCTCTAGTTCTGGCAATTATAACCTTTGAGTTTTTCTGAATTCATACAATAACAGTAAGAACAAGAGCCAATACTGAGATTTTTCTATGTGCCAGGCACTTTTTGAAGTACCTGATATGAACTAATTCACTCCTAATTGTAATCTTAAAGTTGTTTATGATTATCATTTCCATTTTACTAATAGGGGTACCTTACCGAGCACAGAGATATTAAAAGATGGGTCCAAGGTCAGTAAGAGAGGGGAAGAACTTAGGATATGAACTCAGGGAGTCTGGCGCCAGAACCTCTTCTCTTAAACATAATGGAATTGCCTTAAAAACTTCTGATGGTTTCTATATCAAATGATGACGTATCCAATATGCTTTTGCAAACTCTTCTTGCAAAGGGTCTTAATCACCAGCAAAATTACTATTCACTGATATCCAACAAGACAAAATATACTTTCATAATAATATGCACTTAAATGAAGTACTATTTCTTTAAACATTTAAGAAACTCTTTATCAGTCTAGAGTTAGTTCAAATGTCATCACCATGATGAAACAAAGACCAATTGACCTAATATAAACTAAAGTAACCTATCTATGAATGTGTATACAAATCCCAAGTCCATTTTCCTCTGAGACTGAATCCATCAAGAACAAAATTTTTTATTCCATTTATCTCTACAACAGAATGACCGGTAATGAAATGATATAATCTAATATAATCTGAATGGTTATGTCAAAAGCCTAAAACTTTAAAACTTACATAATAACATGTATGGGTAGACAGAAGAAAAATAACAATTTCTCAGGAATTTTGCTGAATTACTTTTAGTATTGTGCATGTATATCTATAAAACTTCAATTGTACTGTGCAAATCCTGTGTTTCTGCTCAAATCTGGCTTTTTGCTCAAAACCAAGGAGGCTTTCATTTCTTACCATGACCAGCATGTATTTCTTTCCTCATTCACACAAACATTAATTGATCATCTACTAGCAAAATCTATAACCTACTAATTTATTACCTGCCTGCAATAAGTGTACTTTCAAACACTGACCTAGGTACACATGATTAAGTGTTCAAGAAAAAAAAAATGATTTCTGATCTCAGAGTTCAGTCTATAGGAGAAAAAAGAACATTAAGCAAACCATCATAAAAATAAGCTTGTACAATTCAAAATTTTAAATTTCATTTATCTGATTTAAATTCATGAGTCAGGGAAGGCTTCCCTGGGTCTAAGAGCATATATACTAAGCAGAGAGAAAAACACACAAAAGTCCCATGACAAGAGGGAGCAGGGAACAAGAGCGGAACTGAAAGATGACTAGTCACTGGTGGGAACCCATCAAGCAAGCAGCTTTGTTGTAGAATATTTTCGTTTTCTTAACAGATTACATTGTAAACAGTGTAAGTCAGCTTCCTCCAAATCATGTTCCCTAACAGATCACATTGCATCTAATTCCCATTATGACAATTTGCACTGTAGTAAACCACAAAAATATTCATATATTTTACAACAGAGATATTATACCTGTAAAATAAATGCACTATAGTATTTTGTGTAATATTAAAAATTCTGAATTCCAACACACAACATCTGAGCGTTTTGTTTCTGACAGTGAAGTAGGTTGCTTCAAGACAACCTTCCGCTGAGAAGTAAAAGAAAGAAAAAAGTAATCTGTTTAAAATCACCAGGCAACTTTAAAGACAGTGACAATTTATACTGAGAAAGAACAGGTGAGAGTAGACATCATGATTAATATCTAGAAGAAACAGGTGAGAGTAGATGTCAAACTCATTTCCCCCCCTTAAGTTATTCGGAGATACTAAATACACTGGCCGAGAAACTGAGAAATTCAGCAGTTTTCAAGAATTGTATTAAGGTAATGTGAACTGACTAGCGGCATTAGTTTAGCTAATGCTAGTAAGATCTTTATTTTAGCAAAAGTAAATATAAGCACAAAGATATCATCAAAGTTCAAATTATCTTATTTTTCATACAAAATATACAAAAACAAAAACAAAAAACACAGTCAAGACCTGATTGAAAAACCAAGATTTTATAATGTCAATAGAAATAAGACACACAGTAGATTCAGGTAATAGTATTGACAAAAAAAGGACTCTTAAATAAGGTCATTTAATGTGTTCAAAGTATTAAAAACCAAAATAAAGAATTTCAGCAGACAATAAAAAGTATGGAATACATGAAACCAAAAGATACAATTTTGAAAAGAGAAATTAAGAAATCAATAAAGGAGTTTACTAATAGGTTAGATACAATTGAAGAATCAATAAACCAGAAGAAAAAAAAAATCTACATCGAAGTCCCAAAATACACAAGAATGGGAAATTCAGAAGAGTGTGAAAAAAAATTATATAAATGGAGAAAAGATCTCAAATACTGCAACTGGAGTTGCAGGACTGAAGGGGATAAGATATTGAGAAGAAAAAATTTGAAGACAAAAACTTTTAAAAACTGATAAAAGACATCAAGTCACATTCAAGATCTACAAACACCCAAGCAAAACAAATACAGAGAAAGCCATACTTTGGGCACATCAAAGGGGGTAAAGATCCAAGATCCATTTATAATAATAACTCTCCAAAAAAATGAATGGGACCTATGTAAATATTATAAAAGCTGTATATGACAAACCTACAGCCAGTATCACACTCAACAGTGAAAAGCTGAGAGCAGGAACAAGACAGGGATGTCCACTATCAACACTATTATTCAACATAGTTTTGGAAGCCCTAGCTGAAGCAAATAGACAAGAAAAAGATGTAAAAGGAATCCCAATGCAAAAAGAAGTAAAACTGTCACTATTCGCAGATGACAGCCTAATATATACTTACAGAAACCAAAGGATTCTACCAAAAAACCTGCTAGAAATAATAAACTAATAAAGTGGCAGGATACAGTCAATACACAAAAACCAGCGCATTCCTATATGCAAACAATGTATAAGAAAGAAAAACATAGTTCCATTTGTAATTGCACCCAAAAGAATGAAATACCTGGAAATAAACTGTAAAACTCTGTTAAAGGAAACAGAACACCAAAAAATGCAAAGATACCCCATGTGCATGGATTGGAAGAATTAGCATCATTAAAAATGGCCAAATTACCCAAAGCGATTTACAGATTTAATGCATTATCTATCAACTACCAACAACTTTTAAAGAAATAGAGCAACTGTCAAATTTATATGGAGCCACACAAAGCCTTGAAAAGCTAAAACAATTTTCAAAGAAGAAAAATGGAGGAAGCACACTTCCTGACTTCAAACAATATTAGACAGCAACAGTAATCAAAACAGTGTGGTACTGGAACGAAAACAGAAACTCAGACCAATGGAACAGAAGTGAAAGCCCAGAGACAAGTCATTATCAACATGGACAGTTACTCTTTGACAAAGGAGTTACAGACATACAATGGAGAAATGATAGCATTTTCAGTATATACTCTGGGAAACACGGATAGCCACAGCCCCCAAATTAAGGAAGTATTAATTTCATACACACAAAAATTAATTCAAAATGGATTAAGATTTGGACATAAGAACTGAGACCATAAGGTACTTGAAAGAAAATATAGGGGACACACTACAGGACATCCACCACAAAGATATATTTGGGACTCAACCCCAACAGCAAGGAAAACAAAAGCAAAAATAAACAAGTGGGACTATATCAAACCTAAAAGCTTTTGTACCTCAAAAGAAATCGGGCCTCCCCTGGTGGCACAGCGGTTGAGCACTGGGCTGCGAAGCTGCCAGCAGCCTGTGCAGCACAGGTTCGATCCCCAGCCACCGGTGAGGGTCCCAAATGGCATGCAGAACTCTCCTGCTGCCCGCTGTTCCCCTCAGCTGTGTATTTCGTCAGTCTGCCTGTTCTGTTCCCCACTCTGGCTCTGGTGAATTCTCTCACCCTTCCGAGCTTCTGACTGTACCCAGTGCTTGCATAAATAAATAAATAAATAAACAAACAAATAAATAAATAAATCTTAAAAAAAAAATCATCACACACACACAAAAAGGCAACCTACAGAATGGGAAAAAACACTTGCATTCCATACATTTGACAAAGGGTTAATCTCCAAAATTTATAACTATTTACACAATCCAACAACAAAGAAGCAAATGAAACAAAGAAATGCCTAAGAAACACCAACAGACACTCCTCTAAAGAAGACACTCAGATGGCCTACAGACATAAGAATTGCTCAACATAATTTATAAGAGAAATGAAAATTGAAACTACAATGAGATACCACCTCACCCCTGTGAGAATGGCCCCTATAAAAAAAATGTTATTAATTAATATTGGGGAGCAGGTAGTGAAAAAGGAACTTTTATCCACTGCTGGTGGTACAAGCCCTGTGGAATACGAGATAGATATTTCTCAAGAAAATAAAAATGGAAATTCTGTATGACACAGCAATACCAGCAATTAGGTATTTATCCAAATAACACAAAAGCTATTAATACAATAAGATTTATCTACACCTATGTACATAGCAGCACCAGTCACAATTGCCAAGTTATGGAACCAACCCACAGTGCCCCTCAACAAATTAGTGGTTAGAGAAACTGGAGCATATATTCAGTGGAATATTACACAGCTATAAAGATGAAACAATGCACCTGGGACAATATGGATGGACCTCCAAGTGATTATGCTAAGTGAAATCAGTCAAAAAGTGAAAGATTTGGGATGGCTTCACTCATCTGTAGAATATAAACACCTCCCCAAAATTATACACAAACACTAATAGGAATAAAAATATGAACTCGACCAAAAAAAAAAGAAGACGACACTGATTA